AGCTCTCCATGCTCATGCACTTTTTCCTTGCCAACCTGGCCTTTGTGGTCACTTGCTTCACTTCCACCACCATCGCCACGATGCTGGGCATGCAGAGAGATCCCTTATGTCATGCCAGGATGCAAAGGGATTCCTTATGCTGGTTGCCTGGCCCAGCATAGCACTTTGTAATAACAATCACTTTTCCTCCCATTTTTTGTGGTGGTTGTTGTTATTGTTCAGGCAAGGTCTCACTCTGTCACCCTGGCTGGACTGCAGTGGCACGATCATAGTTCACTGCAGCCTCAACCCCCCAGGCTCAAACGATTCTCCCACCTCAGCCTCACGCATAGCTGGGACCACAGGTATGTGCCACCATGCCCAGCTAATTTTTTGGTATTTTTTGTAGAGATGAGGTTTCTCCATATTGCCCAGGCTGGTCTCAAACTCTGGGGCTCAAGTGTGCCTGCCTAAGACTTCCAAAATGCTGGGATTACAGGTGTGAGCCATCACATCTGGCCTCCTCCAGTTTTCAACAACATGGTCCTCATTTCCATCTGGGACCTCCTCAGAATGACCTTTGCCATTCGTATTGCTACAATATTCTCATCACTGCCACTTAGGTAAACTTTAAAAAGATTGAGCCTTTCTCTCCTTTTCTTTTGAGCCTTCACCAGAATCACTTTTAAGTCTTTGTTCACAATAACGTAGTCTTTCTCTAGCATACACCTGCACCCTCTTCCAGCCATTACCCAGTTCCAAAGTTGCTTCCACATTTCCAGGTATTTCTTACAATTTAACACTCCACTTCTGGGTACCAATGTCTTAGTTTGTTTTAGCTGCTAGAACAACATACTTTCGACTGAATAATTTATAAACAGCAGAGGTTTATTACTCACAGTTCTGGAGGCTGGGAAGTCCAAGATCAAGGTGCCAGCAGATTCAGTGTCTGGTGAGAGCCCATAGATGATGCCTTTGAATGGTGGAAGGGGCAAACAAGCTCCTCCAGGGCTTTTTGAGGAGGGCGAGGGTGGGGGAAGGCAAAGTCTCGCTCTTTCACCCAGGCTGGAGTGCAGTGGGGTGATCTCGGCTCACTACAAGCTTCACCTCCTGTGTTCAAGCAATTCTCCTGCCTCAGTCTCCCAAGTAGTGGGACTACAGGCACACACCACTATGCCCAGCTAAATTTTTTTGTATTTTTAGTAGAGATGGGGTTTCACCATGTTGGCCAGGCTGGTCTTGGACTCCTGACCTCAAGTGATCAGCCCACTTTGGCCTCCCAAAGTGCTGGGATTACAGGCATGAGCCACCATGCCCAGCCTGTTGGAAAAATTACTTGAACTTCACAATTTATTACTGGTAATATAAAAATAAATGTTCAGGATGACTGTCAAATTGGGGGAAAATTCTATCAAGTTTATATAATTTTGAGCTGTAAGGTTTGGAAAACAAGTTTCTGTATATGACGTACATTAGAGCTGTGCACCATCGGACACTATAGTGTCCAGTTCAATGGAAGGAACCTGTTGCATTGCACCCTGACCCCTGACTTTACACCTCTGTGTCACAATATCTTTGCTGTTGTGAATAGTGCTGCAATGAACACACGCATGCATGTGCCTTTTTGATAGACTGATTTTTGTTTTCTTTGGAGTATATACCCAGTAACAGGACTGCTGGGTCAAATGGTAGCTCTGCTTTTTTACGTTGTTTTTGTTGTTGTTGTTGTTGTTGTTTGTTTTTGAGATGGAATTTCACTCTTGTCACCCAGGCTGGAGTGCAGGCGCGATCTTGGCTCACTGCAACCTCCGCCTCCTGGGTTCAAGTGATTCTCCTGCCTCAGCCTCCCAAGTAGCTGGGATTATAGGCATCCACCACCATGCCTGGCTGATTTTTGTATTTTTAGTAGAGACAGGGTTTCACCATGTTGGCCTAGCTGGTCTCAAACTCCTGACCTCAGGCAATCCACCCACTTCGGCCTCCCAAAGTACTGGGATTACAGGTATGAGCCCCCGCGCTCAGCCAGGTAGCTCTGTTTTAAGTTCTTTGAGTAGTCTCCAAACTGCTTTCCACAGTGGCTGAACTAATTTACATTTTCATCAGTACAGGATAAACATTCCATTTTCTCTGCAGTCTCTTTAATTTATTTTTTTATTTTTTATTTTTTTTTTACTTTTTCAGAATAGCCATTCTGACTGGTGTGAGATGGTGTCTCATTGTGGTTTTGATTTGCATTTCTCTGATGACCAGTGATGGTGATCATTCTTTCATATGTTTGCTAGTCACTTGTATGTCTTTTTTTGAGAAGTGTCTGTTAATGTCCTTTACCCACTTTTTAATGGGGTTATTTGTTTTTTGCTTGTTCAATTGTTTAAGTTCCTTGTAGATTCTGGATATTAGACCTTTGTCAGATGCACAGTTTGCAAATATTTTCTCCCATTCTGTAAGTTGTCTGTTTACTCTGTTGGTAGTTTCTTTTGTTGTGCAGAAACTCTTTAATTTGATTAGATCTCATTTGTCAATTTTTGTTTTCATTGCAATTGCTTTTGAGGACTTAGTCATAAATTCATGTTTCCTAGGTTTTCTTCTAGGATTCTTATGATGTGAGGTCTTAAATTTAAATTTTTAATCTGTCTTTAGTTACTGTTTGTATATGGTGAAAGGGAGGGGTCCAGTTTCATTCTTCTGCATATGATTTGCCAGCTATCCCAGCACCATTTATTGAATAGGAAGTCTTTTCTGCATTGCTTGTTATTGTCAACTTTGTCGAAGATCAGATGGTTGTAGGTGTGTGACTTTATTTCTGGGCTCTCTATTCTATTCCATTGGTCTGTGTATCTGTTTTTGTATCCGTACCGTGCTGTTTTGGTTACTGTAGCCCTAGAGTATAGTTGGAAGTCAGATAATGTGATGCCTCCAGTGTTTTTCTTCTTTCTTAGGATTGCTTTGACTATTCAAGCTGTTTTGGGTTCCATATGAATTTTAATATAGTTTTTTCAATTTTGTGAAAAATGGTTTTGATAGTTTAATAAGAATAGCATTGAATCTGTAGGTTGCTTTGGGCAGTATGGCCATTTGAATGCTATTGATTCTTCTAATCCATAAGCATGGGATGTTTTTCCATTTGTTTGTGTCATTTATGATTTCTTTGCAGTGTTTTGCAGTTCTCCTTGTAAAGATCTTTCACCTCCTTCGTTAGATGTATTTCTAGGTACTTTTTTGTGTGGTTACTGTAAATGGGATTGTGTTTTTGGTTTGGTTGTCAGCTTGGATGTGTTGGTGTAAGGACATGCTATGGAATTTTGTACACTGATTTTGTACCCTGAAGCTTGCTAAAATTGTTTATTCGTTCCAATAGCTTTTTTGGTGGAGTCCTTAGGGTTTTCTAAGTATGGAATCATATTGTCAGTAAAAAAAGATCGTTTGACTTCTTCTTTTCCTATTTAGATTACTTTTATTTGTTTCTGTTGCCTAATTGCTTTGACTAGCACTTCCAGTATTATGTTGAACAGTTGTGGTGAGAGTGGGCATCCTTGTCTTGTTCCAGTTCTCAAGGGGAATGCTTCAAGTTTTTTCATATTCAGTATGATGTTCTTCCCTAGCTTCTTGTGGTTTGCTGCCAATCTTCGATGTCCCTTGGCTTGTAGACCTCTGCATTCATCTTCACATGGCATTCTCCCTGTGTGCATATCTGTCTTTAAATGTCACCTTTTTATAAGGACACCAGTTATACTGTATTAGGAGCCCACCATTCTCCAGTATGACTTCATCTTAGTTATTATACTTAATCCTATTTCTAAATAGGGTCACATTCTGAAATACTGGGGATTAGGACTTCAACACATGAATTGGGAGAAGAGACATAATCCAACTCATAAGATTTGCTAAAAATAAAAAGAAGAAAAAGCCAGGAGCGGTGGTTCACACCTGTAATCCCAGCACTTTGGGAGGCCAAGACAGGCGGATCTCTTGAGCTCAGGAGTTCAAGACCAGCCTGACCAACATGGTGAAACCCCATCTCTATTTTAAAAAAAATACAAAATTAGCCAAGCTTGGTGGCACATACCTGTAATCCCAGCTACTTGGGAGGCTGAGGCAGGAGAATTGCTTGAACCCAGGAGGTGGAGGATGCAGCAAGCCGAGATTGTGCCATTGTACTCCAGCCTGAGCAACAGGAGCAAAACTCCGTTTAAACAACAACAACAACAAAATACTCTAGTGAGTGGATTCATGGCTGAAGCAACATAGTAGCTTATTTCTCACATAACAGAATCCTAGGTCAGTGCATGGGTCTACTCCTCTCAGTCACTCAGAGACCCAAGATTCCTGTGTCTTGTTTCTCACCCATTTCCTAAACATGGTTCTTTTTTTTTTTTTTTTTTTTTCTTTTTTTTGAAGATGGGAGTCCGGCTCGTCGCCCAGGCTGAGCTGCATGGCCGATCTCCGCTCACTCAGGCTCCGCCTACCGGGGTTTTACGCCATTCTCCTGCCTTAGCCTCCCGAGTAGCTGGGACTACAAGTGCGCCCGCCCACCGCGCCCGCTAGTTTCTGTGATTTTTTTAGTAGAGACGGGGGTTCACCGTGTTAGCCAGGATGGTCTCATCTCCTACCTTCGGATCCGCCACGTCTCGGCCTCCCCAAAGTGGCTGGGGATACAGGCTTGAGCCACCGTGCCTGCCAACATGGTTTCTTGTCTATAAAGAGCAAAAGCTTCGGAACTCTCCCGAATTACAAAAATAATAATAATCAGAGGTGCATGGAGGAGGCAAGCCTAATTGGCTGGAAATGCCACCTATTTAGCCATTCACATGGGATTACACCTGGCAAAGAGAGGCCAAGAAATATGATATTGGAACTTTGGCCCCCCTAAATAATTGCATGAAGCAGCATCACAGCTTGACTGAAAACATGGAGAGAAAATAAACTTTAAAATATTGAAATTTGGCCTCTCACTTCCTTTTTTTACTGAGCTTAGACTTTTGGTCCTTAACAAACGCAAGTAATTGGTTCCAGAAGTGGGGTACACCATAAAAATAGACGGCATTTGCTTAATGATAGGGTTGTGAGGACGCAGATATTTCAGGCTGGAAAGCTGAGTATCCTCCTTAGGCCAAGGCAAAATATTTGGTAAAACATGGTCAACTAAGTTGCTAGGCTGTGATTTTGTTATTATAGTAGGGGAGAATGGATTTTTGTGGAGTGCTAGCAGTCCACATTCCATCCTGTAGCCACCAAATATATAAAAACATGCTTCTTCCCACCATAGAATACCTTTATACCCTTCCTGGAAGAAGGCAATCTAATATCCCATGTCATTGATGCATCCAGCTCAGAGTCCAAAATCTCTGGCTAAAACACAGCACAGTCTCTTCATCAGGCAGGTCTTACTATTTCTCTCATGATCCAATAATTTGTAAACTAAAAGTCAATTTATCTGGCCCTCTCCTCATTGAATACACAATATTATACCAGTTGCTAGCACAGAGTAATGATCAAATCTTGCTGGGCAGGATTTTTTTTAACTCTCTGCTTGTAAAGTAGAATAAATCATTTGGTGAGACTCTGGTGGATCTCTCCAGGAAACACCATTGTCTGTTGTTCACTGGTTTTTCTATCTGGGTTTTTCTTCCTTGTCCACTTATCTTCCATGACCACATCTAGAGTGAGTTTTGAGGGGGGTGCCCTGCTTGGGAACTCTGCAGTTCCTGATTCCTGTGGTGCAAATTAGGGATTTCCTTAAGGCTGACACACAGGCTGGGCTCATGGTTTCAAGACAATTCTCTGAAACACTTAGTGAGGTATTTGCTCCCAGTCAGTAACCACACCAAAAGTTCTTCTGAAGACATCGGATTTTTATATTCCTTAGTTTACCCAAGTCTCTCTGCCATGATAATGGTGGCTGCCTGAGGACATTTGAAACAAGTACCTTAAGTGAAAAACCTTATTTACCACTCACTGTTGGAGAGATCAGGGTCAGAAGACTTCTCCAACTCTTTGTGGACTTTTATCTGTGGATTCTTCCATCTCTGTTTGCATATTGGCCAAGTTCTTGACCACTAAGTCCACATCTTTCTTATAACACTTTGCTAAAAGCAACAGGAAGCAACCAACTCACAACCATGTTCTGCCACTTTTTAATCACTTCATCTAGAAATTCAGGTTCAATTACCATTTTAACTGTCTTCCTAGTTCTGTAAGATTATATGTTTTGCCTTGGCCTAAGGAGGATACCCAGCTTTCCAGCCTGAAATATCCGTGTCCTCACAACCCAGCCGTTAATCAAATGCCATCTAGTCTAATGGCTACACCCCACTTCTGGAACCAATTACTGTGTTTATTATGACAAAAGTCTAAGCTTTAGTAAAAAGAAGTGAGAAGTCCAAAATGCAATATTTTAAATAGACAGAAGTTTATTTCTCTCTCTCGTTTTGGTTCAACATGCAACTCTGCTTCATGCAACCATCTACAGACCCAAATTTCTTTCATTTTATTTCTCCATTAATCCCTAAGGCATTTGCCCCATCTGTAGATTGGGTCTTAGGTAAGTCCATATACCAGCTCGCAAACAAGGAAAAAAGAGAGCATGGAGGAGCTAAGTCTACTGTCTTCAAAGCTTCACCCAGATGGTGCACACATAACTTATTCCATCAGTGAGAACTTAGCCACCCACATGGCCTCGCTGCAAGGGAGGCTGGAGAATATGATGTCCCTGCAAGGTCACAATTCTGTCTGCTACAAAAGATGGGAGAATAGAATGGGTACACAGTTAGTATTCTCCAAAGCATGATTCTGCTATTTCCTTCCCATGTACCCGTGAGCCAGTCATTTCACCCCTTTGAATCTCAGTGTTCTCATATGTAAAACAAAGATACTATTACCTACAGGTTAGGGATGTTAAGAGGATTGAATGAGATAATGTGGTGCCTGTATACTGGCAAGAAAGATGATTGGAGATGTTAAATGGATAATCATGTTTTATTTAAATGTGTATGAAGAAAAACACAACTAGTATCTTAAGCCTACACTTAGGATGAGGCTAAAGAAGCTACTTGAGATTTGCTTAACAATTCAAAAATTATCCATCAAGGAAATAATAGTACTATTGGTACACAGAGGTAGCCTTAGCAGATGCTGTTGCTGACCCCTTCCATATTCTTTCAGCTCACCCCATAGCTCACCTGCAGACAGTACTCATACACACCAAAGACTTCCAACACAGAATGTTCTTGACCCTGCACAAGGAAGACCGAAACTGCCAGTGGAATGCTCAAAAGGTAACTGTATTAGTCTGTTCTCACACTGCTATAAAGAACTACCTGAGCAGCGTACGATGGCTCACACCTGTAATCCCAGCACTTTGAGAGGCTAAGGCAGGTGGATCACCTGTAGTCAGGAGTTCAAGACCAGCCTGGGCAATATGATGAAATCCCGTCTCTACTAAAACTACAAAAATTAGACAGGCTGGCCAGGTTTAGTGGCTCACACCTGTAATCCCAGCACTTTGGGAGGCCAAGGCAGGTGGATTATGAGGTCAGTAGTTCGAGATCAGCCTAACCAATATGGTGAAACCCCGTCTCTGCCAAAAATACAAAAATTAGCTGGGTATGCCACGGGCATGGTGGCATGTGCCTGTAATCCCAGTTACTCAGGAGGCTAAGGCAGGAGAATCACTTGAACCCAGGAGGTGGAGGTTGTGATGAGCCAAGATCGCGTCACTGCACTCCAGCCTGGGCGACAGTGCAATACTCGGTCTCAAAAAACAAATAAATAAATAGCCAGGCCATGGTGGCAAACACCTGTGATCCCAGCTACTCAGGAGGCTGAGGCACAGGAATCGCTTGAACCTGGGAGGCAGAGGTTGCAGTGAGCTGAGATCACACCGCTGCAGCATTCTAGCCTGGGCAACAGAGCAAGACCGTGTCTCAAAAATATAATAATAAATTTAAAAAAGAACTACCTGAGACTGGGTGACTGGATAATTTAGTAATTTATAAAGAAAACAGGTTCGATTGGCTCATGGTTCCACAGGCTGTAGAGGAAGCACGGCTGGGGAGGCCTCAGGAAACTTTCAATCATGGTAGAAGGGGAAGCAGGCACGTCTTATATGGCTGGAGCAGGAGGAACAGAGGGGAAGGGAGCTGCTAGACACTTTTAAACAACCAGATCTCATGAGAACTCACTCACTCACCCTGCCCGTGGCATACCCAGCTAATTTTTGTATTTTTAGTAGAGACGGGGTTTCACTTGATGAGAACAGCAAGGGTCAGGGAAATTCACCCCCATGATCCAATCACCCCTCACCAAGGCCCTTCTCCAACACTGGGGATTACAATTCAACATGAGATTTGAGTGGAGACACAAATCCAAACCATATCAGTAACCATCAACCAATGAGGGTCAAGAATTGGTGGGTACCGGGTACAGAGGTTCACGCCTGTAATCCCAGCACTTTGGGAGGCCAAGGTAGGTGGATCACCTGAGGTCAGGAGTTCGAGGTCATCCTGGCCAACATGATGAAACCCCATTTCTACTAATAATACAAAAAATTAGCTGGGCATGGTGGTGAGCACCTGTAATGTCAGCTACTCAGGAGGCTGAGGCAGGAGAATTGCTTGAACCCCGGAGGCCGAGATTGCAGTGAGCCGAGATCGCACCACTGCACTCCAGCCTGGGTGACAGAGTGAGACTCCTTCTCAAAAAATAAAATAAAATAAATGAATTGGTGGGCAACTTACTCGCAGCGTCCTAACCCTTCCATAGGATGACTCTGCAGTCTCTTACTCAGCTACTCAGACGATCCTGAGTGGAACCAAGAACAAGTTACCCACTCATGAATGCATCTCCCTCGCCATCACCTTTCCCCACTCCTCATGCTTCCTGGGACCACCTCCCACAAATCCTTGTTTTGAGGTCTACTTTTTGGGGGAACCCAAACTGAGACATGGACAAAAATTGGAGGTGATGTGGGAATGATGGAAGTTTGTCAACCCTGAGACAATGCATGTAAAACACTTGCTCAGTGCCCGGCACATAGTAAGTGCTCAACAAACGTTGTTCATTGTTACCATTGTTGTTGTTACTTTTTTTAATTTTGGGAAACCACACATAACATAAAATTTACCATTTAACTATTTTTAAGTTTACAATTCAGTCAGTGGCATTAAGTACACTTACTTTCCTGTGCAACCATCACTATCGCCTGAACCCGGGAGGCGGAAGTTGCAGTGAGCCGAGATCGTGCCACTGCACTCCAGCCTGGGTAACAGAGCGAGACTCCATCTCAAAAAACAAAAGAAAAGAAAAAGAAACTTGACCATCCTGGGATTTTTGTATTTTCAGGGGGTCATGGACTCAATCCCCCGTGGATACCGAGGGTTGACTGTGATTTGGGAGTGGAGAGGGATTTCTTATTTTAAAAAAGACCCCCTAAGCTGAAGGAGGCAGCTTTGAAGGATGTCTTAAGATCCTTGTCTTTCCTTAAAGGAGTGATTATCAACAACGGGGATGATTTCACTCGCTCCCAGCCCCAGGGACATTTGGCCATGTCCAGAAACAGTTTTGACTGTGGTGACTGGGGATGGGATACTACTGGCATGTAATGGGTAGAGGCCAGGAATGTGGCTCAACATTCTCTAATGCACAGGAAAAACTCTTGTGCTGTAAAGAATAATCCAGGAGGCTGGGCCCGGTGGCTCATGCCTGTAATCCCAACACTTTGGGAGGTTGAGGTGGGAGGATTGCTTGAGCCCAGGAATTCAAGACAAGCCTGGGCAACATGGCAAGACCCTGACTCTACTGAAAATCAAAAAACTTAGCTGGGTATGGTGGTATATGCCTGTAGTCCATGCCTATAGCTACTCAGGAGGCTGAGGCAGGAGGACTGTTTGAGCCCAGGAGGTCAAGGCTGCAGTGAGCCATGATTGCAGTACTGCACTCCAGCCTGGGTGACAGAGCAAGACCCTGTCTCAAAAAAAAAAAAAAAATTCAGGCAGCAAAGAGTTAAGGTATGCCGTCCCACTCTGCACCTACTTTGAAAGGTAGCTGCAAACCAGGTGCAGTGGCTCACGCCTGTAATCCTAGCACTTTGGGAGGCCAAGGTGGGTGGATCATCTGAGGTCAGGAGTTTGAGACCAGCCTGGCCAACATGGTGAAACTCCATCTCTACTAAAAATACAAAAATTAGCCGAACGTGGTGGTGGTCCCCTGTAATCCCAACTACTCAGGAGGCTGAGGCAGGAGAATCATGTGAACCCAGGAGACGGAGGTTGCAATGAGCCAAGATCATGCCATTGCACACCAGCCTGGGTGACAAGAGCAAAACTCCGTCTCAAAATAAATAAATAAACAAACAAACAAATAAATGGTAGCTGCATTTAGCTGGGCATGGAGGATCTCACCTGGAATCCCAGCACTTGGGAGGCCAAGGTGGGAGAACAGTTTGAGGGGCCAGGAGTTCAAGACTAGCCTGGGCAACATAGCAAGGTCCCATCTCTACCAAAAATGTAAAAACTAATATAAAAAAAAAAAGACAAAGAAATAAAAATTAGCCAGGTGTGGTGGCACACACCTGTAGTCCTAGCTACTTGGGAGGCTGAGGCAGGAGGATCGCTTGAGCCAGGAGTTGGAAGCTGCAATGCGCTATGATGGCATCACTGAACTCCAGCCTGGGCAACCGAGTGAGAACCCTGTCTCTTTAAGAAAAAAAGAAAGAAAGGTAGCAGTGAAAGTGAGACCTAACCAGGCCAAGTCTAGGATCCCAAGAGAAACACCGTGGTGACAGTTGTCATCCCAGAGACACAAGTAGTTATCAAGAACTGTGATGAGTCTGGGATCTTACTCTACTTGCAAATGGACAACTGAACCTGCTACAGTTTTATGGATGCAGGCAGAAGACACGAGACTTCAGTGTCAGAGACAAAGGACTTTATTACTTGTGGCACAGCAGGCAGCATGAACTTTGTGTTTGCACTAGCCCACATTGGGTTAGTTCCACAGCCAAGGAACTCTGAGCTTAAAGATCCCTATTTTTATAGTCGACTGCAAACAAACCTGGTCTCTTTTAATACCAGGAGACATTATCTTCATTATATGAACAGCAAATGAAACTGCCCTCTGCTCCACAAGAAGAAACTCTGTCTTCCAAGGCTGTTTGCTATACAAACATCCTTGAAAAGATAGCTGGAATAAAAGCCGTCTGGGCACCTGATTCTGGGGTGTGCGGAAATGCAAGAGACCCGTGGAGAATCGTTCTCCAGTGGCACCATTGACACCCAGTGGGCAGTGGCTGTCCTTGAAGGTAACTCAGGTAGGAGACTGAATAGGGGAGGCCACTCAGGTTATAGTTTGTGGGTCGATGTGTAGAATCTGGAGTCAGACACTCTTGGTTCAACTCCCAACACCACCACTTCTTAGCTGTGTGAGCTTGAGCAAGTTACTTCACCTCTCTGTGCCTCAATTTCTCCTTTTATAAAATGGAAATGACATAGCACTTATCTCACGAAGTTATTGTGAAAATTAAGTGAGTTTATGTGTGCAAGTCACAGAGAACAGCATGGACACATTAAAGACATGTCAGTGTTAACTATAATTATTATTAATTATTGTGACGATGCAGCCAAGCTTGTGGTCATGCCTGTTTTACGGCATTAATGGCCAAGCTCTCTAACCCACACAGTTCCCTCGAAATGCGGCTCAGAGACTTTGGGGAGGACTTAGGGCCCTTTTCTCCCTGCCCCCCCCCCCCACTGGTTTGCCCCTTCCCAGATAATTTTTTTTTAAAATAGGATCTTGCTCTGTCACCCAGGCAGGAGTGCAATGGTGCAATCTCAGCTCATTGCAACCTCCACCTACCAGGTTCAAGCAATACTCGTTAGCTTCCCGAGTACCTGAGATTACAGGTGTGCACCACCATGCCGGCTAATTTTTTTGTATTTTTAGTAGGGACAGGATGTCACCATGTTGGCCAGGCTGGTCTCGAACTTCTAGCCTCAAGGGACCCAACCCCTTGGCCTCTCAAAGTACCAAGATTACAGGTGTGAGCCACTGCACCTGGCCTAGAAACTCTTTTTTTATTAAGAGATAGGGTCTCATTCTGTTGCCCAGGCTGGAGCGCAGTGGTACCATCATGGCTCACTGCAGCCTCAAACTCCTGGGCTCAAGTGATCCTCCTGCCTCAGCCTCTGGAGTAGCTTGGACTACAGATGCATGCCACCACACCCAGTTAATTTTTAAATTTTTTGTAGAGATGGGGTCTCGCTCTGTTGCTCAGGATGATCTTGAACTCCTGGGCTCAAGCAATTCTCCCACCTTTGCCTCCCAAAGTGCTGGGATTGCAGGTGTGAGCCACTGCACCCAGCTTCGGGGTCATTTTTATTGTCATCCTTGTCATCTTATTACTCTATTGTACCCCATGAAACGAAACTCCATAGAGTGTAAGCTGAGAATATTTTTGCTCTTTTCTATCAGAACTCAGTAAACTCACCTGTTGCCTTGGTCTCTCTGCATGTCTCAAACTGCAGAAGACACGCTTGGGGGCAGTCCCCATCCTCTCTTCTATTGTTTGATCCCTGCAACCTCACTACCCACCACACCACACCACCTCCTCACCTCTGCATTCAACGGCAGACACTCTTACCCGCCCTCAGTCCCTTCCTCCTATGACCTTCGCATAGACCCCACCACCACTGTTCAGACCTCCCTCAATTGCCACTTCCTGAGGGAGGCTTTTCCCTAATTTCCACCCAAGACTAATTAGGTGCCTGCATTTTGCATTCATTAACATTTTTAGGCTGGGCGTGGTGGCTCATGCCTGTAATCTCAGCACTCTGGGAGGCCGAGGCGGGCAGACCACCTGAAGTCAGGAATTCGAGACCAGCCAGGCCAACATGGTGAAACCCTGTCTTTGCAAAAATACAAAAATTAGCCAGGCGTGGTGGTGCGTGCCTGTAATCCCAGACACTTGGGAGGCTGAGGCATGAGAATTGCTTGAACCTGGGAGGTGGAAGTTGCAGTGAGCCAAGATCACACCACTGCACTCCAGCCTGGGCAACAGAGCAAGACTATCTCAAAAAAAAAAAAAAAAAAAAAAATTTTAGCTCAAACTCTGGGTGCCTGCCCAGATCCACTAGGTTCCTACTTGTTTCTCTCCACACCAAGGACTACTTCTAGCAGCTTCATCTCTCTGGTAGCGAGAAAGGAGGTCTTCCTCCAGCTGCTGAAGTGGGTGTGGCCCATACAACGGCAGGTCAGCAGAATCAACAGCCCCAAAGAGCAGCCTTCAATCAACAACAGCATGGAATTGGTGGATAAATACCCCAGCTCCCTCGCCCCTCAGCTGGAACAACTCCAAAGAGTGTCCTCTCTGCTGCCTCCAGAGGCCCTCAGTGGGACTGCACCCTGTTTGTCCATGGCAGTAACTGGTTTCACAATGCATGCTAAATGGCTGTCTGCTTTCTTTTCCCTATTTCACTTCCCATCCTCTACTTGTATCTCCTTGGGTCACCTCCCAAATAAACTATTTGTCCTTGCATTTTTAAAGAGATGAGGTCTCTGATGCGCAGGCTGAAGTGCAGTGGTGCGATAATAGCTCATGGCAGGCCAGGCACAGCGGCTCATGCCTGTAATCCCAACACTTTGGGAGGCCAAGGCAGGAAGATCTCTTGAACCCAGGAGTTCAAGACCAGCCTGGGCAACATAGCAAGATGCCACCTCTACAAAAACAAAAAGTATCCAGGCATAGTTGCACATGCCTGTAGTCCTACCTAGTCAGGAGGCTGAGGTGGGAGGATCAATTGAAGCTGGGAGATCTAGGCTGTAGTGAGTCACTATTGTGCCACTGCATTCCAGCCTGGGCAACAGAGTGAGACCTTGTCTCCAGAAAGAAAGAAGAAAGAAAGAAAGAGAGAGAGAAAGAAAGAAAAAAAGAAAGAAAAGAAAGAGAAAGAAAGAGAGAGAGAGAGAGAAAGAAAGAAAGAAAGAAAGAAAGAAAGAAAGAAAGAAAGAAAGAGAGAGAGAGAGAGAGAGAGAGAGAGGGAGGGAGGGAGGGGGGAAGGAAGGAAGGAAGGAAGGAAGGAAGGAAGGAAGGAAGGAAGGAAGGGAAGGAAAGAGAGAGAGAGAGAAGCTCACTGTAGCCTCAAACTCCAGGGCCCAAGAAGGAAGGAAGGAGAGAGAGAGAGAGAAGCTCACTGCAGCCTCAAACTCCAGGGCCGA